CAACGCGTGGGAGAGGCCGCCAGCGCCTCCTGCGGGCGACAGGCCACTGCCGTCTTGGCCTGGGAGCAGCTCTCTGCCTCGCCCAGCGGCCGCAGCGCGCCTGCGGAGGCATGGTGTTCCCCTCCTTTACTGCGGTGTTCTCGGGGTGTTCGCTGCTAGTTAACGGAGTAACGTCTGTACGGTTGTTTTCTGTATGGTCTCGTTGAAACAGATGTGCCCCTAGAGTAAGCGTGCACCTGCCGTTTGTGAAGGCACTTTGAAAAGACTAACCCTCTTCCAGAGAAGTTTAACTTCTTTCTTGCAGAGGTAAAAGGACTGTGGGGCATGGCCCTTTGCAGGCACCTGTGCCTGTCAGGGAGCAGCCGAAGGAGCGGGGAGGATCACGAGGAGTGGCAGGAGCTGCTGTCCCTGTGCAAGGAGCTTTCTGCAGACTGTCTTTGCAGGTGGGGAGCTGTGCTGCTGCAGTTACTTCAGTTTAAATGCTCATATTGTTAAGTAAAGTAAGTCTTGTTCAGATGGAGTTTATCTTTCACCAAGAGCAATGCTGGGGCACCAGCCTGGGTCCCTACCTCAGTTGTGCAGCAGTGAAGCTGATTCAAACCTTCAGCTGAAAAATCTACAGCGGGCTTTCTCAAGGAGGGTAGCTTTTTGAAACATAATTTGTGACACATTTCACTCTCTCCAAACCAGTCCCTTAAGGTTCACAAAGTAAATCTCGAGGACTATCTTAGAAGCCTCTGCTTAGCAATGAAATAAACATTTGTAAATCCAGTAAGATTTTTTTTCTCAAGTCAGTCTTCTGTTTCTTGTATTTTTAGCATTTCACTAGATCTCTATTACCATTCCTGGTAGTCTTGAGCTGATGTTACACGGACAGCTGGGCACCATTCCTTATTTATTAGTTATCCTTAGTATTTGTGTCTCCCTACAGAAATTCCTTTGCTGTATTTTGCTGATTTTGCGGAGCTTTGTGTCCACTAGAGGGAGGTGTGCACAACGCGTGCTTCGTCTTGCTATTAAACTGCATCACTGCCAGTAAGAACAAGCACAGATTTAGGAAGGATTAGAGTGTATTTACTGCAGGTAAAAATAATTGATGAACGCCATTTAAGAGCCACTGTTAATAAGCTAGGAAATAAAATCAGAAAGAGTTAGGATTTAATTTTAAAAATAAAAATAAGTAATTTGCTGATGTAGCTACAGCTCGGCCACAGCACAAGGTCCCAGTTGTTCCTGCAATGTGCTGCCAGTAAGCCTGTAGATTAGAAACCATGGCCAAAGCTGATTCATACAGCCAGAAAGGGCTACTAGAAACAGGTGACACTGGCCCAAGGGTAGGGAAGAAAGAGGCAATCAAGGATCCCATGGGCATGGCACATCACACACCTTTCAGGCATACGTATGCTATGTATTTATTAGGCTGTGTTTTATGAATAGCTGCATATTGATGTGTTAAGAGGGTTTTTATATGGTTGTTACGGCTTTTTTTAAAGAGCTGGGGTGATGTGCCTGCTAATGTGTACATAGCGTACATGGCCAGATTGATTTTATGTATTACACTGGGTGAGGATTGATTTACTTGTCACATGAAAACACATGCACGCATATGTTTAGTTATATCCGTCTATGTGCGTCCGTCTGTCTATCAGCTTATTTTCACTAAGTGGAGACAGCAGCGTGCCCCCTGGTGCACGCAGGCTGCTCGCTGGCTTTGCTTCAGTGCAGGTTTTTGGTTGTAGCTTCCTCTTTCCTCCTTGCTGAGCTCACAACAGACAGGTTATCAGTCGCCATACTGGACACGGAAATGAGTGTAGAGAAAAGCTGAAGAACAGCATAAACAAGACCAATGAAAAGGGATTTGCTTCGCTTTCTGTTATGCTGAAGTAATAAATGTATTGTCTTTCTTTTCCACAGTCTGAAATTTTATGTCTGTGTGTCTAGGCAGGATGAGCGGCCCTTAGAATCCCTGACAAGGTTTGCAGTCAGTGGAAAAGGCTGTTTAATACCTATCTACTAAATGAGTAAGAGGGTATTTCCCTCAGGAATACCACCTCTTTGATAGTGACCACACCCGTTTAAAGTTACACTGGTTTAGGTTTGTTCAAATTTGACATTAGTCAGCTGGGAGCTCTGCTGCACACCGGCAGCAGGTGAAAAATGAGCAAGACGGCAGTCATGCAAATCGTTGTAAGATTTTGTTGCCTTATTTTTCATATTTTACTAAGAGACGCTGAATTGACTGTCCACGCACAGTGTTCGTAGCAGCACAGCCTAATGCCTCTCTTAGGAGACTTTCTCATACTTCCATCACAAAAATAAAATGCTTTGGAGATTTGAGACAACAGAATTGAAAATCTGGACCAGTGGATCCTGTAGCATCTTTGGTAACTCGGAATGAAATCTCCTGGAATACTGTGGTTTGAATGATTTGATGTTAGTAACCAGAGAAAGAGGAGCATATGTGAATCCTCTCTTCTTCAAAGATGCTTTTTTTTTTGGTTCACTCATTATCGTATCAAATAGCATAATTCAAGACCTGACTCCGCGTTCCACGGTCCATGTCTGTGAGTTGTCCTCTTAGATTGCAACGGTACATCTGAAAGAAGCACATCTTGGGAAGATGGCAATCTGGGAGGGCTGACACAAAAAATGGCAGTGGTTAAATGCCAGACAGGGCCTGTGGTGTAGGTTCAGGGGAGTGAAAAATGCGAAAGGGCAAGAAGGATGCGGTAGTAAGAAATCGTGAAGGAATACCAAGGGAAAAAAGTCTACCTGCGGACCCCAGGATTAAAAGCTGTGGTGCAGCTCATTTACAAAATGGAGATGATGCAGGTGCATTTTTGGCGCCCAAAGAATGACTGTGGTAAATTGGAAAAGGAGTATAAAGATGTCCCTTGTAGTCTGGTATTTGATACAGGCACAGCCGTGAAAGTGGAAACGCTACAGTGTCAAGTTCTTTACAAAGCTTGACAAGCGACTTTGGTTTTGTTCTGGCTGATAATGTTCATAATCCTCAAACCCCCAAAAAGGGAAGTTTTGTCTGCTGAAGATGTGCCAGAGGCTTTAGTTGTACGTATGTATGACTGATAGTATCTTTGTTCGCTCTTTTTTGCTTGTGTTCTTTGGATAGTTAATACTACTTGCTAGAGTGTCAGGGTGACATTTTCCTGGTTGTTATAATTTTGATTTAAGCCTGGGGAGAGAAAGGAAAAAGTAAGGCTTGTTTCTGTTTAAATTCTTTTATATCCACAGTATTCTGAGGTCTCCTGTACAGGGGTTTACTTTGGTTTATTCACTGTAAGCTGAACATATTACTGATCCCTTTTTTTGGCTTTCTTGTCTGTGTTAAATGATTACATATCCTGTATTTAATCTTAAATATTTATGGATTTTAATGGCTAAAAACAACGCTGCATCACCTTCAGTAATGCTGCTCTGCTGACCATTGCCCTATATTATTTCTGTCAGGCTATGGTGCATGTGGCTCTAATTCTTTCAGGATATTTAGTAAGTGCTTAAACATGTTGCCTAATCAACTCACATATGTTGCTGGATCAACTTGCACATTTAAAGGTTTATATTTAGGCAAGTGCTTAGTTACCTGGATGAAATGAAGCCTTTAAAGGCTAGCTTGTGCTCAGCTATTTTATGTAATTACTTTACACTGCAAAGAAACACTGCTCTTTACTATTTCTATATGAAAATGAAAATCTGGAAAGCGTGGCTGAAGTGAAGTGCGATTATTGGACACACACTGTCATGATAGCACACGAATTTTCCCTGTTGTTAGTTTTGATGACTGCCTGTTAAGGAAACGTTATTTTCTCATAGGAGAACATAATTTTTCCTTTTTCAGAAGCACACAGGGAGGAACTATATGACTTAAATTGCACAGCACTACACTTTAGCTAGTATCTTAATGTCACAGAGTAAGTTTTAATTTCTAGGCCTCAAGATGCAAAAGAACGAAGAAATGAAGAGTAGATTGTCCTCTGCAATTCATTGGCATTCATTTGGATGCAATGGCCTCTTCCTTCTACAGTATTGGCTTTATTTTGAATAAAGCTGCTGTGTTTCACAGAATAAAGGAAAAACAACGGTCTAAAACTGCAAGCAGAAACAAACATAGAGATACAGATTCCTTAGGTATGCTAAGCATACCTAAGCAGCAAGGGAGGGTGCTCCATGCTGCTTCTAATCTTTTCAGTCTTATTCATTTCTTGTATTCCTGTCCATCAAGAAGAATGCAAATCCCTCGTTTCTATAGAAGAAAGTCCACGTGCCAGTAGTCTCCACAATTATTTGCCAAGTGCCAGCCAAATGATCGATAGCTTTTAAGCTCAAAGGCATTTGGATAACTAGCCCTTGTTTAGGTATCTCATATTTAATTTCTCTTGGAGCTAGGCACCTAGACACGTTTTCAAGATTTGCCAGTAACTTTTGGTATTAGTAATTTATCTTTGCTTTCTTGAATGGTTTGGGTTTAGGTGGTGTTCTGGCTTGGAGGAAGGAAGTCCGCCTCCAAATATGTGTGTGTGTATGTATATATATATATTTATGTAGGTATCTCCATATTTGGTGATAACAGATTTAGGTAGCTAGATAGTCTCATCAGCATATGGGCCTTTTTAGACTTTAACAATACAGATATTGATTATTTTTAATGTGGTTGGCATTGATGTTCATGAGGTGCCTACATTTTCCTGATAATTCTGCTCATGCCCCTGTTGCC